CTCAAGGACTTTGTTAAATTTGACCTTTGATCTCCTCCCTAATATTGCTTGATGTTTCCTGTTGGCTTGCTTTTAAAAGGAGCTGTTTCTGTGTAATAAATCGGACCTCTTGTCTCCACGCTATTGAGTGTGCTGTCCTTTCTCAATCCTCACTCCCCAACTCAGGTACGTTCGTGTTGTGACGGCCAGACCGCCACAAGAACTTCAATATTGCTGGGCATGGTGGTGCATACCTGTAATCCCAGCACTCTTGAGGCTGAGGCAGGAGGATTGCTGTGAGTTCGAGAGCAGCCTGGGCTACATAGTGAGTTCCAGGTCAGTCTCAACTACATAGTGAGACCCTGTCTCAAAAAACCAAAAAAAAAACAAACAAAAAAAAAGAACTTCAATATCGAAAGGTTCATAAGCATTTTCAAGAATGAAATGTTAACACTCAACTATTTGCAGAAGGTATGAGGTAGAAAAGGCAGAAGACTACTTGATTAAGCCCTCATCCCATACTCAATAGGGAGTTGGCAATGGGTCAGCTTCTACCAACTCGAGTAGTCTCAACCCTAATAGAAGTTCACTTTAGCCGGCTCAGCTCCCAGACACAAGTGGTACCAGTGGTATTCACATTGCTAAGTCAAAGCATGGGCTGGTTGCCATTCTTTACTGCCACCAGCAGGGGCAGTGTTGGGCCTCCAGGCCAGGGCTCTTCCGGCCCAAGGGAAATTCTCAGTTCCCTTCTGGTCCTGCTTCCATTCCTACGGGAGAACTTCCGGGAGCAACAGAAATAAGGGTGATCCAGCTACCAACTCTCTTGGGTTTGTCCATCTACATGATTCTCAGTTCAGAAACAAATGTTGTTGGGTGTTGAATTCTGTGGACAGGTTCAATTTTTTCTTTTTCTTTCTGCATGGAAAGCATCCTTCTCTGTTATTAAGGGTTTTTCCTGGATTCCGTTGGGAAGGCGGCCATCATGAGAGAACCGTTCCCGGACAGGTAACGTGTCTTCACTTTTCAGAGGGTTTTGATTTTTTATGCTGCACTAGCATTGTTTATATTTCCTATAGATTCCAAATATGTATCGAGCTAATGAAATATTTTAAATTCTCAGTAACTGGCCAGGCCTGGTGGCACACTCCTCCCAGCTACTGAGGAGGCTGAGGCAGGAGGGTCAGAAGTACTATGCCAACCTGGCCCAGTTAATTTAGTGAGAACCTGTCTTTAGGGAGAAGGCAGGGACTCGGGAGGTAGCTTAGTGGTTGAGTGTGCGGAGGCCCAAGGTTCAACCTCCCATTTGGCAAAAGTGTTCAGTATCTAAATAACAAAGCAAAAAATACTAGATTTAAAAATCTAGGTAGATAAATAGTTATATAGATGGATGTGCATTAAAGCACAGGCAAAACATGAATGTTGTTATACTTTTTGATGTGACGCTTATGTTGAAAAGGACGAGAACTTGTTAAAATTCTTGCTCAAGTAATGAAGTGACTCTTGTGCTACCTACACAAATTATTTTATGTCTACAGTCCTACGTTTATAGAATATGAAATAATGTCTTGCTGAAATGATTTATAGAAGCAGTGTATATACATCACAACCATTTCAGGAAAAGGAAAGTGAAGGTGAGTGAAAATAGCAAGAATGTGCACATACAGAAACTTAATATGAGTACTTTTGATACTCAATTATGAAATGATATATCCTGACAAATTATCTTGCTAAAGTGGATATATGATAGGTACACATAATATAATAAGAAGTATTAACTGACATTTAGTATAAATATACTATATAGTTAGCAGAAATTAAGCAAGATATGACTTGTCTATTGACAACAGAGTTCTGAAGGAGTAGGAAATGAACCTTTTTTGTTACTTTATGAATATATATATGACACTTCATAACAAAATGACTGCCTTTATTCTCTCCTCAAATATTTTAAAGTACTCTTGCTGGAAATCGAGTACTTTGATTAAGCCTAATTCACTTTGCCTGTCAGTTGTTTTAGGTACTGATTATAAAAAACATTAAGTTTGCAGTTTGATAAATGATGCAAATTATATATTTTATATCTAAAATAATATGTATTATTTTTTACTTCAAAGATCCAACTTTCAAAATGAAATAGGAGAAAGTCATTTTATACTCATCCATATAAATTTCCTATTCATGCTCTTGTTCCCTTTAGGTAGTTTTCCAGCAAAGATATTTCCCTTCAGTCTGAAGAATTTCTTGTAGGATTATGTGTTACTGTTTGGATGGAAACAAATATTCTCAAATTTGTTTCATCTCGCTGTCAGTCTGAAAACATAGTATTCAGATTAATGAATACTATGTTGACTTCTTAAATTTTTTATTTCAGTATTGGAAAGTTGCTGATGCATTTTCACCATTTCTCCAAGGATGGTTTGAAAAAGTAACTGTCAGATTCCTGAGTCAGTAGGTAATGTACTTTATTTTTCCTAAATTTTTCATGGGTATACCCTTGTATACATCACTAATACCCTTTGTATTTCACCCAGATATTCAGTATGTAGCTTTGGAACACAATAAAAGTATAATAGCTATTTCATCCATCTAATTTTAATGTATTTGTA